CGAGTTGTAATTAGCGTTATCTCATTAATTACAAGGGTTAATTAGAGGTATTTACTTACTTCCGAGGTGTAATTAGTGGTATCTCATTAATTACCTTGATTAATTAGAAGTGTTTAAATAATGACCGGAAGCAATTAGGAGTGTCTTCTTGATTGGTAATTCTAATTACCAGAAATTATTGGGATCTTAAGCAGTTATATGATAATTTTATTATATCATTATAATGGACCTTATTTTTAGATAAACTATGGATCCGTAAGTGAGCTCGAAATTTCAAGTTTACGTGTCGAGCTCACTTTTTATGACCCAAATTTTACTAATGATTGATGAATATGTGAAAGTGAGTGTACATTCGAAACGCAATTTGACATTTTAAAATATAAAAAAATAACCTCATAGTAAAAAGATTATAAGCAACAAAACAAGCTCCATATAACAGAGAAAATTCATCCACAAATTTATGTAGAAGACTTTTTAATATTCGTGTTTCGGAGAAAATAGCTGCATAAGCTAATAATCGAAAGTGTTCATAATATTTTGTTTTCATCACTATTTCAAATACTGTATTCAACATAAATTTTGATGTGATGAATATTTGAATATGTATCATACATACTAATATCCGAAAAGTAGTGTCATTCTGAATTCATTGGTTTTCCATGTTGTATAAAATCCAAAAGAACGTGGTAATCTATTGATCGTTGGATAATGGATAATTTGCAGCAGTTTCTGTAAGCACGAAAACTGCTTTTTAATTGAATAATCTGCTCTCACAGTCTCTAGCCATAAATGCATTAGTTTTCTCTTTGAATGAAAAAATTACTTGCGAATACTCCAGAGTGTAATCCATGTAGAGAATCGAAGCAAAAACTCTCGCCAGTTTCAAAATGACTTAATTGCCGCAAAGCACAACGACTTGCATGTCCACATGCTCTATCGTTTGATGAATCTTTTGCTACATAATTCCAAATCAGAAATATTGATGAAAAGAATAAGAAAAAAATACCAAAATGAAGTTTTCTACTGTATCTAAAATCTTTATGAAATAGTCATATATCTTATTATTTTGAAGTGTTGTAGGAGTTCTACTGTTGTTAACAAAGCATCGTGAGTTTCTCTTGTATGTAGATCGTGATCAAAGTATTTTACAAAAAAATAACAATTAATAACATTTAAGTTTGATAAGAAGATTAAAATATTCTAACCTGGTATACAACACCAACCGCAGCTAAAAAAAACGTTTAGGATCTTTAATATTCATCATGAGTGCTTGCGTAGGTTTGTCACAAACTGCTAAAATAGTAAAAGCACATAAACAAGTGTAAATTCTACTTTAATATTTGATAGTCGACAAAAGCTCAACATCAATACTAAATTATTCAAGAAATTTTAACTCATTCACAATATTTTGTAATACTATGGCATATTCATCTTTCTTTGCTTTTTAGCCCTAATTAATATAGAGCAAATTAGTATATTGTTAATATCATAGCGTTTGCTACCTTGATATTCGTTTAAGAAGCACTGCAACAGTATGGAACGTGAGAGTTACAGTTTCTGTTTGAATTGATTTGATTCAAACATATGTTTACCAAGAATTTCTCTTTCAAGAATTGAACAAATTTGCAGCACCAAACAAAAAATGAAGGCTGATGTTGAAGTTCGTGCGTGAGAACCAGACGATTGACATTTCATCGAATTGCATTTCGAAGCATTTATACATTTATTACCGCATGAAGAACAAATAAAAGATTGGTTTTCTTCCAGTAATACAGGATTCTTTTTTTAAAATTTGCATCGTGTTTTACTGTTCATGTTGTATCATCATCGGAAATCATGTGTTGATCAAAGTCATGTGGTTGATTTTCCTTAATAACATTAAATATTATAGTAAAAATATCAGAGGGAAATGGAGCAAGCATACAGTGTATTGTTCAAAACACCTGTTGTCAGAGTTTCTATTGCATCAAGCTGTTTTTTTCAGAATTCTTGTACGATAATGACTAAGTCGAGATTTTCTATCCATTATCATTTGTATCTTATTATCATTGTCGGCAATCATGTCAAATTATTGTTTTTTAAGATGTCTCATAATTAGAGTTGTAAGCCGTCAGCCGATTTTTACTGGAGCCGACAGCTTACACCTCTAATCATAATATTTCTTATAGTTTTCTCCACAGAAATATGCACATGAAATTATGACTCATTTTATCCAGTTCTGATAATTTGATTTATTGGGTGTCGATAACTAATGAACATCCACCCACACTAGAGATTTGCATCACAGTCCCTTACTGTCCCGAATGAGAGTCTAAAAATGGGTACGTCATGTATGAATATGACGTACCCATTTTTTAGATCCTCCATCGAGATAGTACGAGATCGTAGAAACTGCGATGCAAACCTCTGATTCACACCCTTACTCACACCCACACCCTCTATTATTTATCACCTTGTGTTTTATCTAAACATTTTCAATATTCAAAATAAGTTATACATGAAGTTTGACTTGGATCCATGCACCATCATCAAGCGTTTTCCAATTTGTTGTACATCGTTGTTGTTCATGTATGTACTGACAGAAGTTCCATGTCCATATTTGTTGTTGACTTTGTTTTATTGAATTATGCATCCGAACGAATCGAGTACTCAATCGTTGTCGAATAACGTCCAATTCGAGTAGCCACTCTTGACCGTCGCGTGTAAATAGCGACACTGATGTTTTTCTCTGAACAGATTTTCCTTCGCCCCAAAGAACGAATTTAAACGCGTCCAGTGACTGACTATATTCGGTGTCATACATCGGAATGAGTGAGTCGGATTGTATATACATTGGAATTCGATCGAGACGACTCGTATCTTCATTGATAGATGTATGTGCCTTGTGTACAATTGATGTATTGAATCCATTCAGCCATTTGCCACTAGGTGATGACGGAAGCCAAATACGTTGAGTTTGATTCGGAGCCGGATTACGAAGGATCGGCACGACGTAAATGTGTGGACCGAGAAAATAAGCATAACTAAAGATGGCTTCAATATCGTCGCATGGTCGCATCAGTGTACTATTTTTACTAATAGCAGCTTTCGTACCTTCAGCGTATAGATAAGGCACAAGCATATAGTGTAATTCGACCCAAGATCGGTAGATATTCGTTGTTTCGTTGTCAAATTTCCATGGTAAATGCTCGCCACCGCCACCATTCTCCATAAATGAACTTAGTGCTCCTACTGCTGCCCATCGAAGAAATAGTTCTTTAGTTCGACCAAGTGGACCTGCTTTTGAATCAGTATCATAGCCACCGATGTCTGAACCGAAGCCGACATAATGACGGCGTCCACTCTCGAGCATGTAACGAAGAGCTTTTCGAAGTCCATCGTATGTTCCCTCTTCATCGCCTACCCAACCCATAAACACAATATCGTGAGGGGAAAAATCGAGGTCATAATCGACAGGACGTGACATAATTAGGGCCTCCTGGCCGATTAACTGGCGCAGGATATGAAATGTATCATTGTAATAGGCTGTTCGATATTTTAGCCAAGTTACTTCTGGATCAAGCATTTCGATAATATGTAAGTCGCTATAATCAGCCTTTGAAAACGTAAGAATATTAAGGATGAGAAAAGATACAAGAGATATCTGAATGAAATTTGATGTTTAGGGTGTGAGTATCATTGTGAATGTGGATGCGAGTTTCATTCATGTCTCACCCACACCAACACCCTTGAATCTGCAAGTATTCAACTGACGTGGTACTCTGAATAGGTAACCTGGAGAGGTATTCTAGGGGTACACTCGAGTAGTACTGTGACATCTGGTCTTTGACCTGTGTTCTGGTTAACGTGGGAAGACAAACTTTAAAGATGTCTTTTACGATATAACCCTTTCATTCTGCTTCGCTTTTTCTCATTCATGATATATAGAATTTCCTATCTGATGGATTCTTGCTTCTAGTTCGTGCTCTATATATCGAGTGGTTCAGTTGTTGAAAGGAGTGATATGCAGAAATAAATACAAGTGAGATTACGGCATGACAACACATTTCAATTTTCAATTCGTTCTCTGTACAGCGATACTTTTTTAAACATATACATTTACGAAATAACGACTGTTCATTTGTTTCCTTATAAAGGAAACATTTAGAGTGTAGAATTTTAATACAACCCAGAAACGTTTCAATCACTTGCATCATTTTAGTTTTTCTTAAGACTGAAATTAATATAAATTTTTCTGACAGTAACTATAGTACTCTCGTAAGAATAGACATATTTTTTATCTTTCGCCAAATGATAATGCATTGCACAATACTTTGATTGCACGGTTTATTTTCTTACTTTAAATGCGTGAATGGGTCCAACAGTATCGATTAGTTGTTTGATTTGACTGTGCCACCAGTTGACAGCATCTAGATTGAAATAGTTCAATAGTCGTCCGTGCCCATGTCCCCAATCGATTGTTTTATTGAACAGATATCCATGGTCATATGCATATTGATAGTTTGGCGAATCGATATCGATTACTGTATTCATCCAGAGAACGATGTGCATACCTTTTTGACGAAATACATCGAGCATTTCTTTTGGAGATGGAAATCTTGTCGGATTGAATATGAATGTATTGACGTTCGTTCCCCAGCGAAAGTCAATATTGACAATACCGACATGAATGCGATGTTCAAGATAATTGTCGAACATTGCTTGAATATCAGCTTGATTGGTATGAGAGTTAGGTAGCCAGACCATATGATAATGGGCCCATTCGGCATAGGGAAGTGACAATGATGAATATCCAAAGAGACAAAAAAGTATAAGAAGACGTAGCATATTGTTTGTGCAGAGGAAAAATTAAGAAATATAAAACGCTCGATTTTAAATATATAAAAGACGATAGTGTGGGAATGAATGCAGTTGTGATGCGTTAGATTCTTTTTCTTTTTTCTTTTTCAAGATCATCAGATAACGACTTCGATCCGAGTGCGTTACGAAGTATTTGCGATATTGTTCTATATTAATATATTCGATATCGATTTTGCGGAGGATGTGAGTGTGGCTATCTTGAGGAGTGGGGTATTTGTTTCAGCCTGACACGTACCAACACCCACATTTACTCTCCCACACACATTCAAACTTACACCTACATCCTCTAAAGTTGTATACAAGTACTATACATATCATTAGAAAACTAAATATTAGTGCAACTTATACTTGCATCAGTAAATATTTACTAAGCGAAATTATTAGAGCGTAGATATGGGCGTGTTTATAAAGAGCAAACATTTACACCCACACCCTCATTAGCCATACCATTTATCACTCATACATCCATATTGTATGAAGAAGAAAGAGGATTTTGAGTGTGTACATGTGAAAAGGGTGTGGGGTGTCGGTAAGAGCGAGAGTCTTGGTCATATACTGTCTCGCGTCCACACCTCACCCACACCCACACCCACACCTACATCCACCCACACCACACCCACACCCTCAAGATTTTATCAAACATAGTCCTTTATATATCGTGACCACAATTTCTGGACTACCATAAGTATACTCGTAAAATGAAACATCTTGTCTATTTTTCTTGAATACTACATCTTCAAGATATTCTACGAAAAATATA